CTATTTGTTATCTTACTTCTATCATTGACAGTCCCTCTAGGTTGTGGGCTGCTTGCCTGTGTTCCTGAGAAGCATCTACGGTACCAGTCTATAGAGTGTGTTTTCTTTAGTGAATTACCGGTATGTTTACCGGTAATAAACTTGCACTGTTTTATGTATATGTTTGATTACATACAGCCTTGTGACAGTTTTCCTGCATGTCATAAGCATTTGAATATAAATTAAAATGTTAAAATCAAATCTGATATTGTTTTACCTTTTATTTGGTGTGTGGAAGGTGTGCGGAAGAGGGGGTAGTCTTATACGGCGAGTATATAACAAACTCTGTATTTTGAGTGGAAATGTTAGGGGGTCGTCTTATATGCCCAGTCGTCTTATACGCCGGCAAATACGGTAAGTAAGTGTTGCTGAAAACTTACTCTGTACCAGAACCTGCTGGACTTTGGGGCTGTGAAGCCAGGATAAGTAGGCGAGCAGGACCCACTGCACTGGGGCTTCATTCAGGAGAGCAGGTGCTACGCAAGCACTCGGGAAGGTCACCTGCAGCGGGGAGCACGGGCGTTAGCACGGCACAGAGAGAGGGGGACGTTTTCCACGCAGCGGGACCAGCATTTGCAAAAACACAGGCACCAGAGGGCAAATTTTGTTAAGATCATTTTGCACTGGGTGTTTATGCGGCTCGAGTCCACATATATGAGGGTGGGCAGAAGGTAGTGATGAGAGATTTGAATGGAGAGATAAATAGGATTAAGAGCATAGGGGCCTACTCTGTTCAGGACTTCCAATCTGATCATGCTGGCAGACAGGGAGCCCCTGGTAGGTGTTCAGTTGGGGTGTTTAGACAGGTTAAAATAGTTGCAGTAAGGAGACGAGGCTAGAAGCCTGTAAGGCAGGGGTCCTCAAACTTTTTAAACAGGGGGCCAGTTCACTGTCCCGCAGACCGTTGGAGGGCCGGATCATAGTTTAAAAAAAAACTATGAACAAATTCCTATGCACACTGCACCTATCTTATTTTGAAGTAAAAAAACAAAATGGGAACAAATACAGTATTTGTATTTGCATGTGGCCCGCGGGCCGTAGTTTGAGGAGCCCTGCTGTAAGGCCTTAGACAGGCAGAACAGCCAGTTGGGAGGCTGGTGCAACAATAACCTCGGTGAGAAAGCAGAGTCCCGCCCTAAGAAGTGATCATGGAGACAAGATCTGTAGTAGGTAACAAAGGCGGGTGGGTGGTAGAAAGCAGAATCAGGCATGCCTCCCAAACCTGTGCCTGCTGTAATTTGGTGGTACTGCCATTTGCCTAGATGAATGGGGGTGGGGGCGGGTGTGAACAATTCATCCAGCTTGGGATCTAGGGAGCTTGGGGTCCCCATAACCTAGAAGATGAGCTGCCCAGCAGGCACATACACAGATAGGTTCAATGCACAAATAGGAGAACATCTTCTTGAGGGATAAAAGTTTGGCACTACTTCAGTTCTGTGAGGCATTGAGCCTAGGCAGAAAGTAAGGTGAGAGAACAGAGACAGAACCAAGGCCAGACAGGCATCCAGAGGAGGAGGGGCCACAAAGGAGAGGGAGGAGGGGCCCTGGAGTAGCAGGAAAATCAGACACAGATCAGTACCTGGAACTGAGGGAGGAGAGCGTTCAGAGCAGTGATTGGTGTCCACTGCTTTTAGCTCCTGGAGGCTGGGGGGAGCAATGATGGAACGATGGGAGCCACCACACCAGACTGCAGTGTGCTTAAGAGTCCAGGAAGTGAGGGCTCGAGGAGGGGTGGGGGTGAGGGGGACTTCCAGAAGGAAAGGAGAGACCAATAGTTACAAATGAACGTAGGGTCCAGAGATTTCATTAAGAAAAGTGATACTTGGAATGCCTAAGAGCTGAAGGAATTTGCTAGGAGAGAGAAAGAGGATGAAAAATAGGAGTGGGAGCTTCTTAGAGCTGAGCTATCTTCTTGGTCGTTGGGCAGTTCTGCCTCTCTTCAACTTCCCCTTTCCTGAGGAAAGCAGAGAGAAGCCTTAGCTCCTGAGTGTGCTAGGTCGTGGGATCATGCTCCTGAGGAACACTGCGCACAACGTGGTGACCTCGCGGCTTTCGGGAGACGGCGAGTGCACTTCGGTTTGTGTGAGGGCTAGCTGCGTTATCTTGAGAGAGAGATTGCTGTCCGGAAGTTTCAGTATGGATGTGAAGGGGCCAAAGGGGTATTCTTAGCTGATACTACAGATTTGCTTACGCAAAATTGATTCCGACTTCCTTTTAATGTTCCTTCCCAAAATTCCTATACCAAAAGCACTTAAAGCTGTATTTCCTAGGCTCTCTTGAAGCTAGGGTTCGAGATGTTGTTTAAGTTCTGCCTATCAGATGTACTTCCATGTCTGGGTTAAATATAAAGGCAGACAGAGCATGGGGTCCCTATTTAGCTGGTTAAGACTTGAGCAGAGTTGTGGTTCAGGAGCCGGCAGCTTCCCAATTTGACAGGTTTCCTGGTTGTGGCAAAAGCCCCAATGCTGCTAGGTGGTGCTAGGAGGTGTCCCTAGAAACTCAACCTAGAGCCTGGCTCTTCAATTGTCCTGATGAGACTGTAAATCCTGTAATATCCTCGTATGCATACCCCTCTGCTTCAACTAGCTAGAGTAGATTCTGTTCCCTGCAACTAAACTGTGATTGGTACAACATCCAAATTCAGGGCAAAACATAGCTTGCCACCTGTTCTGTAAATACAGGTGTATTGGAAGACAGCCATGCCCACTTACTTATGCATCGTCCCTGACTAATCTCATGCTACAGAGGCAGAGCTGAGTAGTTGCACGAGAAACCATAAAGCTGGTGATATTTACTATCTGACCTTTTCCAGGAAAATGTTGCCAACCCCAAGATGACAGCATAGGAATGCCAGGACACAAGGGAACAGACCTACCAGCCAGACAAGGGACATGTGGATTTGTCTTTCTTCACACTGAAAATATTTTAAAAATCCCAACTATGGTAACCAACACCAGCATAAAAAGGTAGAATTTAAAAAAAAATTTCTTTTATTGATTTCAGAGAGGAAGAGAGAGGGAGAAAGAGATAGAAACATCAGTGATGAGAGAGAATCATTGAGTGGCTGCCTCCTGCAAACCCCCTCCTAGAGATCAAGCCTGGAACCTGGGCATGTACCCTTGACCGGAATTGAACCTGGGACCCTTCAGTCCACAGGCCAACACTCTATCCACTGAGCCAAACCAACTAGGACAAAAGGTAGAATTTTAATCTACCCTGATCTTATACTGAAATAATATTATTAAGAATCAGCTGTCATCTATTTTCTTCTTTTGGAGGTTGTGCAGGATTCATAAGGATGGCAGAGGCTCAGTATAAATAAAATAATTAACAAATATTACCTAATGATACTTATTTATAGCCCAACTAATTAGTGCCTGTATTTTTCATATGGGATACCAGAGCTTGCATGAGAAAAGTTAAGGTTACAGGCTTTCTAGGAGTGTAGCACCCTGCATCTTTCCTTCATGGCACTAATCATAATTACACTTTACTAATGATATATATTATTTTCTGCTTAGTTTCTCATTTTTCCCACTGGCAGGCTGTAAACTAGTAGATTGTAAAGTCTACCAGAACAATGACCAAATCTGCCTTGTTCACCACTATACCTCCAAAGTCTCACTTACAATCACCACTCAAGAATACCCTTCTGAATGAATGAATGAGACAATTCCAAATATGACTAACAGTTTTGTTTTTGGTTTGGAGAGATAGTCAAACATAGCTTTTTATCATCTGTACTAGAGGCCCGGTGCAACAAAATTTGTGCAGTCGGGGGGGGGGGCGCGTCAGCCTGTGCCCTCTCACAGTCTAGGATCCCTCAGGGGATGTCCGACTGCCATGGAAGCAGGAGAGGCTCCCGTCACCATTGCTGTGCTCACCAGCCATGAGCCCAGCTTCTGACTGAGTGGTGCTCCTCCTGTGGGAGCACACTGACTACCAGGGGCCAGCTCCTACATCGAGTGATTGCTCCCTGGT